AACAATTTCTAGCAATACTACTTATGAAGTAAAGGTGCATAGATAACATATGAACGACAGAGAAACTTAACAACAGACATGTCTGAAGGATACGAACAAGAAACGAGACAACAAATCGAATGGACATGTTGAATCCGGAGAAATCAGTGGCTGTTGATCATCTTTGAGCGCAGTCAAGTAGTTTTCAATAATCGCGAACGAAAGAGTGAGCATAGGAGACTAATCAGTTTGGTAACTAATGGCCGATACACCGGAAAAGATCGAAAAAAGCTGCGAACACCTTCTTCCAATTTATTACATTGAAACAGTTCACGGAACGATTATGACACGTTGTCAGCGCGCCTGTTTAAAGGAAACGAACGCTGAAAACTGGCTAAGCTAAATGAACCGCGATAGCATGGCCAGTGACCTGTAATCAATTATCTAAAAATAAACAAGTTCCTTTTAGTTTCCTAACCGGAACCCACCTGTTCTTGCGGCAACATTCAAAGATATCGGATGGCGATAAATCAATAGTCTCTGAAATGGAAATCCCCTACTTACAGCTTACAGCTTATCCTTCACAAAGTTTAGTTTACCGGCATTGTGCATATTGTCACATATTCAAAAACAGAATTGTTTACGAACAATTCGCCAAAATTGGCGAAAACTTAAATCTTTCACCCCTAAGAGTGACTAACATCCAATTTCTCCTCACAAAAATACTGTAAAATCAAACACCAGGGCCACAAGAATAAAGGATGCGATCGCTGTTTGAAGAAGCTCTTGGTCGCTAAATAAATTCTTCTTGTTAGTCACTTGAGGAATGTATAGAGAACAGTATGGAGAATATGCACACATCCCCTTATACAAAAACCTCATTCTGGGTTATTTTACATGGAAGCTTTAATCTGTGCGAGAGTACCCTTCTTCGAAAGGCTTCAAAAGGCATCTCGCATTTCTCATTCCACTGTTGGGAAAGAGCGCATACGTTAAGAGAGGATAAGAGTTATCCTCATTGGTGACTACTTACTATCCTCCCCCTATATCGCCCTCTTTTTTGACTACTTCTTGAATCTAGATAAATCAATGGTTGTTGGTCGCCTTTCAGTTTAAAAGAATTGCAAGCGCACACGACAGAATAGTTTGGTAAATAACAGCCTAGAGACCGGAAAAAAACCGAAAAGCTGCGAATAGCTTCTTCATTCTAAATAAAAATGCTGGACCAATTCTATGTACACGGCACCTTTAGGTAATACTTAATTCGAATTTTCTTCGATTAACGAAAACCAGACTGAAGTGCATCCTAAAACAGTTCGTGGAAGATAAGAACACCTTCTAAGTTCGCCTGTTTAAGAAAAACGAATGGCGACAGCTGGCCACGCTGAATGAGCTGCGGTAGCGTGGTCAGTTACTTGTGTGATCAATTATCTTAAACGTAAGGATTCCGTGAAGTTTCCTACCTTGATGACGCCTGTTCTTACGGCAATACTTAAAGTTTTCGGTGTATGATAAATTTAACAATGGATTCCATTGTGTCGTGAGGCTCTCAGTAGAGACCATGGGTAGAGTGAAAAAAGTAGTATGCCACTGATTTTCTTATCTTTTACATCCGTATTTACACAACTGTTATAGAAATACATGTACTTACATTTACATATGACTCCACTCCCTTGGTAACCTGGCTTACACTGACAGGTGTATGAACCGATAGAATTGAGGCAGTTTGCGTCTGAATGACATTTGTTGTCACCAGTTCTGCATTCGTCGATATCTGCCGCACAAAGAAAGTAAATTAATTGTAATAAATATTAATAGTGATTACTACTGACTACATGAACAATAATGATGGTAACAATAATAACAATGACAACAATAATAATGGTAACAATAATGATATCGATAACAATATCGTTATTTCAGTATCGGCACACCCCTTACTAACATGGGTTAGATAAGGGCTACAGTTTAACATCCAAAGATGTATCTTTTCCTCAGAAAGCTAACTTAGAAATGGAAAAAGCTTTTTTGAAGGATTTTGAGCGATCAGATCCATCGCATGATTAGCTTATTTGCTTTTTTCTTAATGATAAGTATTTGATTTGACGTGTTTCTTTTTCTTTGTTTGTTTGTTTGTTTTTTTAAGAAGGGAAGGGGGGTGGAGGGTCGCCTTAAATATGATATAAAGCGAATCATAATGTGGTCCTTCTCCAGACCAAAATGAATGACAATAAAATCTAGTCAGCCACACAAACATTACAAAAGTAACAAAAAAAGCTAAAAAAAAATTTCCTTCGAGCCGGATTCGAACCAGCGACCTAAGGATATCAATCAATGTCTCTACAGTCCTCCGCTCTACCAACTGAGCTATCGAAGGAGCAAGTACTTGTAGAGGTGTTCTAGCAGAAATGAATCCGTAAAAATAACTAGAGGTCAGTTGGTGGATGTCTAAGTGGCCATTGGTATCAGTTTGAGTAAGAAGCGAAGCGTGTGAACAGCATAGCAGTTGAAAATATAACTAGTAAATCAAATTTACATTGATACATGTACTAATTCTTCTTAAATACATTGTTCCTTGTTCATAGTAAAACGTCAACAACGACGACACGCTTAAGTCGTCCTTCCTTCTATGGTGTAAAATGGCCCGCCGAGAGAGGAAAGCTTGTCTCTCCTACTGCAGGCTGTCATGTTATCTCTCTTTCCACATGAGCAGGTTAAAAAAATCATTGCTTCTTTCTTTCTTTTTCTTTGTTTGTTTGTTTGTTTTTTTAAGAAGGGGGGAGGGGGAGGGTCGCCTTAAAGATGATAAAAAGCGAATCATAATGAGGTCCTTCTCCAGACCAAAATGAATGACAATAAAATCCAGTCAGCCACACAAACATTACAAAAGTAACACAAAAAGCAAAAAAAATCTCCTTCGAGCCGGATTCGAACCAGCGACCTAAGGATATCAATCAATGTCTCTACAGTCCTCCGCTCTACCAACTGAGCTATCGAAGGAACATTCAACATGATCGCATTTCCACTCAGACATAAACGAGTATGAACAACTTATGAGCTTTGTTCTTGTCCCCATCCTCGTTGCTGATTTTATATGAACAAAAAGAAAATGCACATGGATGAATTGATCATTGGCCTGAAAAAAATGAACTCACCACCGCACGACGTTCCGGGACCCTGGTAACCACTGCTACACACGCAGCTCGGTCCTTGAATCAAGTTTTGACACGTGGCATTCGCATGACAGACCTCTCCTGCACAAGTGCCATCAGCTAAAATTGGTAGAGAACAATGTAATTGAAATTATTTCTCGCAGCCTGGCTCAATAGCTCAACTGTTAAGAGTTGCGACTCTCACTCAGTGCAATAAATTGCAACATCGAATCCAAGTGTTGCGTCACTACTAACTTTTTGACCACTTACATTCACATTCAAAGCCAGTTCCTTGGTAGCCGGGCCTACAGCGGCAGGAATACGACCCAAGAGTGTTGAGACAATCTGCATGCTGATGACAACCGTTATTTGTTCGACATTCGTCCACGTCTACGGAGAAATAGAGAGAGGCCTAAAGTTTTGCATAAATGGGCTCAAGCTGGCCACTTAACTGTAACTCATATTGAATCAGTCTCTTACCAACACATTTCCTTCCATCCCCCGCCCAACCATCGACGCAAACGCACTGCCGGGCGCGGTTGCTAGCAGTTTTTGGAACGCATACACCGTGTTGACTACAAACCACACCATCACACGAACCATCGGCTGAAAACAAAGGCAGAATGGATAAAACAAATAACGGTAAAAAACAATCATCATTTTTAGTTGGTTGAAAAACTACAGGGTCTGTGAGTGCACAAGTTTCAATAAAGACGGTTACTGGCGGTTTACCGCATCCTATGAGACCTTGCCTCCGTCTGTTTACGACTCTTTTTGAGGCTCAGCCGCCTTTCACATTTCGGCAGCCGCTGTTGAAACCCCTGTCTATGACCCTTAGACTTACATTCGCATTGAGTCCCATTGCCAAGGTAACCAAGCCGGCAGCGACATTGGTAAGACCCCGGGCTATTATAACAATCAGCGTTCAGGTCACAGTTGGTTGCTGGGGATAAGCACTCGTCAATATCTGGCATGAACAAAGGTAAGACCATGATATAAGTTAAAGATATAACTGGTAAAAAAAGACAGCATTTAACGATTACTTCGCTACTTGCTAGAAAAAAGATAATGGGAGGAGAGGGTGTGTGGTCCATCTTACAATCCTGTTTTTCAATAGTAAAATCAATATAAAATAAAAATAGATATATATGTATAAAATGGAATGTAATGTCTTATCGCTAACATAGTATCCGTCATTTTCCTTTTCAACGTATCCAAAATCAGTTATACAACGAAATCGTTTAGTTCTCTCAATCATCGGACCAGGCCTTGGAAATAGACGCACGAAGTGCTTTGCTTTTTGCGTTTGCACATCTGAACTGGCAGGGTTTCGATTCGAGATGGAGATTTTATAGTTGCATATTCCTCGTGAAAACGTTTTCTCTTCAATGATACATTAGCTCTTAGAACTCACCCTCACATGTAGTTCCGTTCCCTCTCCACCCTATTCTGCATATGCATTGACGTGGAAAATCAGAACTCTCCTCACAGTCAGCATTAGAATCGCAGTAGACTCCATCACACGAACCATCAGCTACAAGTGAAACGATGTAGTGAGGTAACACGAATTTGTTACCGATGATCGATGTTAATTCGTTCACATCTTCGAAGGTTATTTCATAGGAAAAGATGTCAAGCTTTTCACGACAATGGAGGAAACGACCCCTTCGCTCGTTAATAAATATCCAACATCTTTCTTCATTTGACAAAGATGAACGGAATCTTTTGTTTTTTCCTCTTTGTGTCGCTTTTTTTATGTACAAAACAATTGCCAGCTCCATTGCCACCAAGTTGTTTGACCCATATATCGATTGCAACTCAATTTCCCGAAAAACAATTCACAGCTCCGACATTTCCGATAACTCCCCTCCCTCCCTTTTTTAACTTACATGTGCAGTTAACACCATCACCAAGGTAACCCGGCTTGCAATGGCATTCATAAGATCCTTCTGTATTAAAGCACTCAGCCTTTGAGTGACAGTCAGTGTCACTGGGTGACTGACATTCGTTGATGTCTGGTGTGAAAGAGAGACAGAGTTCGCTCAATAATAAGCCTTAAGCTTTGTAAATATTGCCAGAAAAGAGGTTACTGATGAATGGCATGAATGGAATGGGAAGAAATTTAAGCTAAAAAAAAAAAACCACCTTACCAGAACAACTAAACCCGTCCCCTTGCCAACCATCTCGGCACTTGCATTGTCGTCGTGCCTCTGGAAACTTTCGAAAACAATCGGCATTTGGATGGCAAACTCTACCTTCACATGTACCATCCGCTGTAGTAGAATAAAGACCGCGTAAAAATACTCAAACGATCAGTATTGGAAGGGCGACATAACCCTTTACACCCTGACATCAGTAAACATATTCTCCAGACTGTTCTCTATACATTTCCTATGGTGCTGCAAATGACAAGGTTGCACGTCTTGCCGTCTGCTTTCAGCCACTAGGGTGCTTT